TGGTCCTCCTGATTGATATATTTAATCAAGTTCTGAAAAGCTCACACAGGGAAAAAATTTACCAGGAGGCCTACCTTTGCTGCAATAGTCAGTAAGATTCATCTACCCAGCTGGCCAAAATTCAGACTTCTGCTTTCTTGGGGAAGGAATGAGAGAGCGTTCTGTAGGCATGGAAGAGTTCTCTCTCCCTTTTCCAAAATTTGTTCTAACTGCCAATTCACCTCAAACAGTCTTCGCACTCATAATATCTGCAGGACTCAACAGACTCACTACCTATCACAGACATACTGAGCGGAGACAAACATCAGTCATGTTGATCCTAATAGATAAATTTAAGGAAGGAGCAGTATGAACTCTGCTTCCTTCAACTGAAAACCGTTTCCAAGTAGAAATGAACTTAACATCGACAGAGTACCGACAAATTAACCTCTTCACACCCCTAGACAAGCTTCATTATTCTAGGACTCCTATTACTGTACAATTACTGTACAATTCTGTTACAATAGTTTTTAAATGTACAACTTAGATTCCACTATAATAGTTTTTTAAAAGGTTATCTTTTAACAAACATTTTTTAAGTCATGGCACATAACTGATTTATTTCAAGTTATCACTGTTAATCCAAAGTGCCACACAATCCAAATCATACAGTGGGCACGTACTGCAGGAAGTCGACTTTAAAAAGGAACAGGAGATTTGACTTTTTGATTTTTTACAGGAGCAAAATTACCCCTTATTTTGCCATAAACAATATCACTCAAATGATTCTAGTACAGTTCCTGGAACAGGTGCTCAATTAATGCCAGATAAATGCTTCACTTAACTTTCTAATTCTAGTAGGAAATCTAAGTCAAGAATCAATGGTAGGGCTTCCCTGGTGGCGCAGTAGTTAAGAATCTGCCTGCCAATGCAGGGGACACGGGTTCAAGCCCTGGTCTGGGAAGATTCCACATGCCGCAGAGCAACTAAGCCCATGCGTCACAACTACTGAGCCTGCGCTCTAGAGCCCGCAAGCCACAACTACTGAGCCCACGTGTCACAACTACTGAAGCCTGCGTGCCTACAGCCTGTGCTCTGCAACAAGAGAAGCCATGACAATGAGAAGCCCGCACACCACAACAAGTAGCCCCCGCTCGCTGCAACTAGAGAGCCCGCGCACAGCAACGAAGACCCAACGCAGCCAAAAACAAAAAAACAATTTATTAAAAAAAAGAATCAACGGTAGCTAAATTTATTTCACATCTAAGTTAAAAATGTACCATTTGCTATTTTATGCATTGCTGTGGACTGAATTTTTGATCCCCCGCCTTCCACAATTCATATGTAGAAGCTCTGTTCCTAATATGATAATATTGGAGGTGGAGCCCTTTAGGAGGCAATCAGGTCATGAGGCCCTTATAAAAGAGACACTGGGAAAGACGATCTCTCTCTCTCTCCCTCAAGTAGACACAGCAAGAAGTCAGTTGTCTACAGACCAGGAGGAGGGTGCTCATCAGATCTGCCAGCACCTTGATCTTGGACTTCCCAGCCTCCAGAACCATGAAAATAAATGTTTGTTGTTCTTCCCACCCAGTCTATGGTATCTGGTATAATGTCCTGGACTAAGACACACACACACACACACACTCACACACACATGCACACTTCCTTAAGAAATTACAAACGTTAAAAAGTATCTACTGATTTTTCAAATGTTTTAAAAGTGAAATTCACGTGGCATAAATATATCACTATACTAAGTGCAATAACCGTACTCTGTGATCATTAAAAAAACTGAAAAACTAAAACTTCCATCCCATTTCACTTATGACTCTTTTATATTATATAATTTTATATTAATATAATTTATATATATTAAAATTAGTATAATATAATTTTATATTAATAAACATTTATAATAAAATAAGTAAATCCGTATAGGGAAGAAACAAGTTATCCAAAAGATGTAATATCAACTTACTTATTTGACCTCCTCCTATCTCTTCTAAATATTTATGCTCTATGATGAGTCCTTTATAGGCATTCTCTCAGGCCTTACAAGGTCCTCAGTTTGTCCATGTTTCTGTTCACACTTCAACCTTAGGACTTCTCTGCTGTTATATGTTAACTGGGACATCTTTAGGTGTCTAGAAACTGCAATTAAATGGCTTTATGGTTAAGTAATGTATTTACATGTCCTAAAGACCAGCACGGGAGGAAGGATTAGTTTAGTTGGCAGCCACTTAATATTAAGTATGTTCATATGTGCAAAACACAGTGACTGAAAAGCCTTTTTCCAAAATTTAAACATTCCCTTTCACCCACTTATTCATATTATAAAAGACAAAATATTTTAAAGGATTGGACTTACCCTCAAATAAATCTTCCAGAACTTCCTATGGAGTCATTTCAGGTTCTAAGTAGTGAAAGCGAGCCTTTGAATTAGTCCATCCAAAGCGTTTCCAAGATATATTTTTCAACGAGTAGAATAATACTTAATCTATGTAGAAGTCTAGGTAACTTGAAAATAAATTCAGTATTCTAACTTAAAGTACTAAACTACTGTAACGATTCTAAGTTATTGTCAGTCTATAACAGGTATTAATTTTGTGAGATTTCAACTCCTAAAAGCAAAAAATAAGCAATACTAAACTATGCTAATACTGAGAACATTCACCCTAGCCATCTGAATATCCTGATAAGGGAATAAGATAATACCTAGGTACTGGTTACCTGGTTACTATTTTCCATTGTTCTTTTTAAACAAACAAAAATAAAATCTTTTTATTACTCTATTACCCTAAATAGTTACCAAAAATAAAATCCAAATATTGTTATTTTTAGATAACTACGGGGGAGAGGGGTATAGTAATGCTGTTCTTTCTCTTTTCCCTCCTTAAAGAAGTCAAAGACAATACCAGAAGTTAGGTGCAGAATAATTTATCTGACTGATGTCCGAATTTAAATGTTGTAGGGGGACTTCCCAGGTGGCACAGTGGTTAAGAATCTGCCTGCCAATTCAGGGGACACAGGTTCAAGCCCTGGTCCAGGAAGATCCCACATGCCGCAGAACAACTAAGCCCATGCGCCACAACTACTGAGCCTGCACTCTAGAGCCTGCGAGCCACCAACTACTGAAGCCTGCACCCCTAGAGCCTGTGTTCCGCCAAAAAGAGAAGCCACCACAATGAGAAGCCCGCGCACCACAACAAAGAGTAGCCCCTGCTCGCCACAACTAGAGAAAGCCCGCATGCAGCAACGAAGACCCAACGCAGCCAAAAATAAATAAATAAATAAATTTTTAAAATAAATAAATAAATAAATGTTGTAGGTAAAATATTTAGGGTAGAGATGACAGAGCCAGATTATTTAAAACATCTCTCTAAAGATACAGAGTTTTTAAAATAATATGCTCATCCTTAGATTCATATATGGTGGTATTTTGCTTAAATATTTGATTGCCAATATGCAGAAATATTAATACATATAAAACATCCTAGCTTTATGATAAAAATTATTTCACGTGATTTACATATGCTTTACACCTTCTAACACAAGTGATTTTTTTTTTCTTATAGCAGCAACTCAATTTTATTCTGGAATAAAATGATTTCTGAAAGAAGAAAATCTGCCAATATTCTCTTCCTTCCTTTCAGTTTGAAAATCTTGCACAATTTTTCTAAATTAAACTAATGACTATATGATAAGTTTATGTTAAAAAACAACTTTTTTACTAAACAAGAGGTTATTTACCCATTTCTATCACCTGATGTCCTATTCAGAATAATTTTTGCAAAGCTTTAATATGATTCAGAAACAGATTAATAGCAGAAAAAAAAAGTAAAATCTTTAATTCTGAGAAGATAAAAGTTTTTAGGTGCTGCAAATTTGTTTTTCAAAATTACGTGTGAGGTTGTATTGAAATATTTATCTGTGTTAAGTTATACTGAGATGTTTAGCATGCTCACGTTACTACTGAGGACTAGTTGTTCACATTTACTTATATTACACTCACAAAATAGCAGTTCTATAATTTAAGAAGACACTAAATTTCAAAAGTTTGGATACATACAAAAATGTACTTTGAGCTCTGCTGGTTTAATCATTTGATATCTTAGATGTACACCTTCCTTTAGGATAACAAATAACAGGCCATGGACTAATTTAACTTTGGTTACATAATACTTGTAACACTCAAATGGGTTTGCAAATATAAATGTCTCTGCTCTAGCACAGTTTTGAGGGGAGGATTATCCTTCGATATATAACAGATGCAAGCATGTGCAATTTGGTAGTAGGAAGGAACTATTTTTACTATGGAAAGATGGAGTAAGGGATGGACCCTTTTAAAAAAGAACAGATCACTTTTATTAAATAATTCCCCTACAAAGTTTGCATCTTAGGCCCAGTTTCACAGAAATTTTGGAATGATATTAAATAGCCCTGCTTTCTCTTCTCTTTCTGTTTAACACCTAGATTCTGAAAGTCATCCAATTTAATAATCTTTAAGACAACTATAAGAAATCAAGTCTCAAATCAGATGCAGTATCTGATGCAGACTATCTGTTGTCTAACTACCATTTCACTGGTCAGCCAGTCCATAAAAAAAGAATTTAAGCTAACTCAAATATTTAGGGAAAATAAGAGAAACTAGAACATGTCAAATATGCTTCCTAAGAAATTATGCCTCATTGCATAAGTTAAATATGAGAATTTCCACCTCAGTAAATCTCTCATACAAAAATAACCTAACACTTAAATCTAAGCCATTATTTATATATATTACTTAGCATATAAAAGGAAATAATATAAAAGTAGAAATTTGATGTTTCTTAAATCATAATTGCCAGAGTGTCTAAAAATAAAATCATCACCCCAAATCAGAAATGCTATAATTTAAAAATTTTGCTACATAGGTTTTCTCAATAGGTTTTCTCAATAGGTTTTCTACATAGGTGAGCACCAAAAAAAAAAAACACCAACCCTTCCCCACAAACAATATACATCTATAGGTCTGTAAGTTAGAGGCTGAAAAATGTTAACTTCAAGGAGTTCATTTTAATTATGAATTGATACTGCATTTCTACAACCCCTGGTGATACTTAAATAAAACACCAATATCTAAAAGCAACAGGTAAACCTATAATGAACTTGGCAAAATGCATATCTCAAGTAGAAATATTTCTTTCTACAAACGTTCTAAAGAACAATGCTTAAAATTATACAAGGTTTGAAATATCATTTTAACCAAGTTTACATGAAAAAGAGAAACACCAAAGTTGATAACAGTGAAAGTCTTTTGGCTCTCTTACAAATGGTATCTTTATAATTCCCCAACTTTCAGAGCATGAGTATTTTTCTAGGAAAAATAAAATGGAAACTGTGTTTCTTATATAGCTTTATGTGTCAGAGTCACTTCCAGACCCCGGTCTGTTGTCATCTGGTCCATCACTTCCTTTGTCCCAGTCTTTCATGGATGCTCCCATCATGAAATTATCACGTAGGATAGCCCATCCTGGGCCCTCTTCTGATTTTGCTTCAGTCTGTGGAAAATTATACAATCAAAATATTCAGAAGTCAATTTCATCATAAGGAAATTTTAAAATTCCAAGCTATAAAACAAACCTGTCAACACTTTTATAATAGGAGTGAGATCAAGACAAATTATAGACTGACTTTACTTATACACTATGATCATATAGGCACAAATATGTAGTACTATGTTAAAATATTTCAGCCTTATAAAAGAACCATGAAGCAGAATTAAACTTTTTTTTTTTGCAGTGGGGGGTATAATACAGTAAAATCTAGGTTTGGTATCAATTTTTAAAATCTGCTGACAATCAAAACAGACTTACAAAACATCGTTTAACATTCAGTGATAACTTATTAGAAAATGTTTGGCAAATTATTTTAACACAAAGAGAAATTTAACAAAGGTTTTTAACCCAAAATGAATTAAAGGAGAGAAAATGAAACTAACCTGATACTGTGCTAGGTTTTAATAGATGCTATCTCATTTAACATTTGATAAAAATTTGAACCAGGGCTTCCCTGGTGGCGCAGTGGTTAAGAATCTGCCTGCTAATGTAGGGGACACGGGTTTGAGCCCTGGTCTGGGAGGATCCCACATGCCACGGAGCAACTGGGCCCATGAGCCACACTACTGAGCCTGCGCGTCTGGAGCCAGTGCTCCGCAACAAGAGAGGCTGCGATAGTGAGAGGCCTGCGCGCCGCATTGAGGAGTGGCCCCCACTCACCGCAACTAGAAAAAGCCCTCGCACAGAAACGAAGATCCAACACAGCAAAAATAATAAATTAATTAATACTCACTCCAAATTTCAAAAAAAAAAAAATTGAACCAAATGTTCTTTATTTAGGTTATAATCTCACTGCCTGGCCAAATCATGGACTCAAAAGACTAATCACATGCTAAAACCATAAATATCTGAAACAGGCAATAAACATAATAGGTAGTCAATTCATTTCGTTTATTCATAGGATTTATATAAAACTATGTAAGAGAGGCTAAGAATTACAGCCTCTTATTTCATACTACAACAGTACCACCTTGTGGCATTAATTAAGTAATGCAGGATGCTGAACTCTAAACTGGTTTCTTTAACTTCATTCCACAAATATTTACTGAGAACTGCATATCAAATACCTTTCTTAGCGTTAGAAACAGAGTGATGAACAAAACAAAGTCCCTGTCTTCATGGAGCTAATAGTCTGTGCTTTCCTACTTATGCCATTCACAGAAATACACAATGTGAGAAAAATCTCTAAATATACGAGAACCCATTTGGTTAGAAAATACTGTTACCTTATGGGAGCCATTAATCATCTAAAAAGCAATTATTAAGGGAAAAGATGTTAAAGACATTTACTGGGTTAAGAGATTACTTATCTAATTCTGCTGAAGCTATCTTTTATTTTAAAAAATATAGCCCTGAAACAGTCATACCATTTAAAAAAAAAAGGACACTATTACAAACAGGAAAAATCTCCTATTGGCTTACTCCTCAGGGCTTGTCCCTCAGTAGAACCCAAAGACTGGACAGCACATAAATGTGACCAAAGATTTGCAGAAATGACTTAGTGAATCAAACAGTGCACTTTGTACTATAATTTTACCAGCATAAAGAAACAAAAACATCTGTGCTAGGTTAAACCCAACAGTAAAACAGTTCCAATGCTTTTCACGCCACACTGGTAGAGAGTAATGAAGTAGAAAGGCAATTTATAACGCTGCTCACGGAGGATGCTAACACCTCCCCATCCCTCATCTCTACAGTATCAAACCTACATTCCTAAAAAAGATTTCTGCTTCTGTCAGATTAAATTACCTAACTGGATAAAAGGCCATTTTCCCTGATTCAACTGGTTTTCTTTGCCAATCTCCTCACCTTACTTAAGAGAGACAGTTGCTCCCAATGAACAGAGATCCACTTAGAACCAATAACTGTAACACTTCTCCTGCCAAATTAATTATTCAAAGTTTTCAATTAAATTCTAAAAAGTGTATGCTTCCTGGTATAGGCACACACAAATTACTAACTAGTAAAGACAGCCTGACATTAATGTTTGTGTTTACATGCGAGTATGCACAACCTTAATGGCAAGGCTCCATGTTAAATAACTACACCCAACATGCTATGAACACGTTACCGACCCAGAGCAGGCAGAACCCACGTGACTTGCTTCTACATGAGAGCTCACCCTGACAGCCAACTTCTGCCACATCACAGAGTTGCAGGCACCACAAGAAAGGAGGGAAGGAAGAAGGGGAGACGAGGACAAAATCTTAAACAGGCAGTTCAGAAACAAAGAAAGGAATAACAGTGGACCAAAGGAAAGGATTCATTAATTAAAATGGTGAGACCTACTGTCTCGATCAAGAAGATCAAGTAAACGTATGTTTTAGGCAAAGGGAGCGATCATAGCATAAATTCAAAGCTCTTCTCAATTGTCCAACTTGAAGATAATGAAGTAAAGCTTTACTGGGGGGTCTTGGTGGTGGCGTTCTGGTTTTCAAGCACTCATACAGTCTGCTTCAGTCAGTCTCAAAGTGTGGCCCTGACACCAGCATCAGCATCACTTGTTAGGAATTCACAATCTCAGGCCCATAAATACAGAAACATTAAAAAAAACAAAACCCCCAAAACTTGGGCCCTGTTCCGAACCTACTGAATCAGAAACTCTGGTTTAATCTGTTTTAATAAGCCAAGCAGTGCTTCTGATGCTCACTAAAGCCTGAGAACCACCAAATAAAAGGACGAATATTTCTTAGAGACAATTTTCTTTCACTGCTATAAAACTAAGTACACTTTACGGCTGAGAGAGAAAAGATTTCAGATTTTGGAATCCAATGTCAGACACAGCACTGGATGCTTGACAGACTGCCATCATTCAAGCTACATTACAGTGGCATTTTTATACCACAAAGCAACAATATGGACAAAAAAACTGACAACATAAAATTTAGTACTAACAAGTGTAGGTTAATATAGTTTAAAAACAGGTATTTTCTATATTATCTCTCAAGACGGCAGCTCAAGAAAAAAAACATCTCTCAAGATGACCCTTTAACTTCTAATGCCTCCACGTGCTGAAGAAATATGCAGCAAGAAAGAAGGCAGGGGATCCGTGTTAAGGCGGCTGTTTGAACACAGACAACTAGTCCTGCTCAACTGCACAGCTTAAGCAACAAAGGAAAAGTGACTGTTGTTTTAAAGACATAATCCACTAGGACAAGATCCAAAGAGAAAAAACAGCCACAAAATTTTAGAAGGTGGAAGCAGATGGACTGGAGGCAACTGTCTTGGCAAAGCCAAGGAAGGTGAATCCTACAACTGCGACTGTCAGGCTGACAGCTAACCCAAATCACGCGGCAGAATGTTCAGGGGGAAAAAACCCAAAACTTAGAAGCAGGCAGTTCTGGGTACTTCTGGAAGTGAGGGTAGGAACAGAGGAACCGAAATAAAGAGAATTGGGTGACAGTTATGTTAAGAAACAATCAGGTCTCTAGATCCGTTCCCCACTCCACACTCCCCTGGCAGAACATTTGAGGTTTAACCCCTAGAGAGGTTATGAGCTAGCACAGATGTAGGCATAGGTGCAGTACCAAAAACAGGGGATTAGGTTACACACACACACACACACACACTCCACCCCCAACAATGAGTCCCAGTCTTCTTCTCACATTAGGCTCCCAAAATGCTGGTCAGCAGATCTTTTCTCTCCAGGCAGGAGATCAGGAATACTCTAGAAAATCTGACCAGTTAATAATAAATAACCCACCGAGAGAAGCCTACATTAAAGCTCACATGTCATGTGGACAACATCCACATACTCAGAGTTTCCAGTAACCTTTTTAGGATTATTTGTTCTAGTCATAAACAGACAACTAAGGTTTATCAGAAAGAAGACAGAATAACATAAACACAAACATTTAAAAAGCAACTTGCTTGGGAGATTGGATTGACATATATACACTAATATGTATAAAATAATAAGAACCTGCTGTATAAAAAATAAATAAAATTCAATAAATAAATGAAAAATCAAAAGCAAATTGCAGGAAAAAGAAGCTATTCAGGCAGACAGCAGAAGCAAGAAGAACTACAATCCTGCAGCCTGTGGAACAAAAACCACATTCACAGAAAGACAGACAAGATGAAAAGGCAGAGGGCTATGTACCAGATGAAGGAACAAGATAAAACCCCAGAAAAACAACTAAATGAAGTGCAGATAGGCAACCTTCCAGAAAAAGAATTCAGAATAATGATAATGAAGATGATCCAGGGCCTAAGAAAAAGAATGGAGGCAAAGATTGAGAAGATGCAAGAAATGTTTAACAAAGACCCAGAAGAATTAAAAAATAAACAGAGATGAACAATACAATAACTGAAATGAAAAATACACTAGAAGGAATCAACAGCAGAATAACTGAGGCAGAAGAACAGGTAAGTGACCTGAAAGACAGAATGGTGAAATTCACTGCTGTGGAACAGAATAGAGAAAAAAAATGAAAAGAATTGAAGACAGCCTAAGAGACCTCTGGGACAACATTAAACTCAACAACATTTGCATTATAGGGGTCCCAGAAGGAGAAGAGAGAGAGAAAGGACCAGAGAAAATATCCGAAGAGATTATAGTCGAAAACTTCCCTAACATGGGAAAGGAAATAGCCACCCAAGTCCAGGAAGCGCAGAGAGTCCCATACAAGATAAATCCAAGGAGAAACATGCCGAGACACATAGTAATCAAATTGGCAAAAATTAAAGACAAAAATTATTGAAAGCAGCAAGGAAAAAACTACAAATAACGTACAAGGGATCTCCCATAAGGTTAACAGCTGATTTCTCAGCAGAAACTCTACCAGCCAGAAGGGAGTGGCATGACATATTTAAAGTGATGAAAGGGAAGAACCTTCAACCAAGATTACTCTACCTGACAAGCATCTCATTCACATTCAGTGGAGACGTCAAAAGCTTTACAGACAAGCAAAAGCTAAGAGAATTCAGCACCACCAAACCAG